AAGTTATATATGGGAGCTATATCCAAATCTGAACCGATCTCGATAAAATTTAGCAAAGGTATTTCTGAGCTGCATTTGATATATTTCCAAAAAAATTTTTTTGTTACAGAGTGCATATTACGGCTGCGGAGGACACATATAACAAATCGGATGAACAATATATATGGGAGCTATAGCTATATCTGAACCGATTTCGATCAAATTTGGCACACTTATTTTCATGCCTAATTTGGTTGTATGTCCATACTATTCGGACTGATATTACAAGTTTGGTGCACAATAAAAGGCAAATCGGAAGAAGATAAGTATGGGAGCTATATCTAAATGTTGACCGATTATCTCCAATTTCAATAGGGTTCATCCCTGGGAAAAACAAATAATTTGTGCAAAATCTCATCTGGATAGGGCAATAAATGCGAACTGTAGTTTGTTTACAAAAATACATGGACAGACGGACGGGCGGACGTGCATAAATCGACTCAGAATGTGATTCTATGCAGATCATCGAAAGGAACTATGGGTCTATCTCGTTTCCTTTTGCCTGTTACAAACAAATGCACAAAGACATAATACCCTGACCACCTTGTGGTGTAGGGTATAAAAAGAAAAAAACAATGCCTAAAAAGATATTAAGTTTGTCCGGTCCGAACTTCTAATACCCTCCACCATTGGGCAAAGTAAACATTTTTTATGCAAAAGTATCTGGATTCAAACGTGTTCCACTTTAAACTACAAACTCCAGTAAGATCGGTAGGAGGATGGTTGGAGCCGTTATATGGGGCCATACTAAAACGGGAGCCTATGTATACAATTTTGTACTACAACGATTGCAATCTATTACGAGTCTTAAATCCCAAATTTTATATAATTTCGTGGGTAAATATATTAGAAAATGTGGCTTAAATCTTCAAAATGCCGAATATCCAATGAAATATGTACGCTATGGGAAAAACCAAACCAAATATACGAAAACGTACATTTATATGCACAATGTTCCTCCATCGGAGATGGAACCTAATACAAACTACAAATAACTTTTTTTAGACAAATCCGTTGAAAATTTGGCAAAAATTATCACACAGCGAATGTAAGGAGGTACCATTATAGGGGCGCTATACCAAAACGTGAACCTGTATGTACCAAGTTCCGCCACAAGAGCTAGAACCCATAACGAACTTCAAATACCAATTTCAAGACAAATTGGTGGAAATATGTGGCTAAAACTATCAAAATACCGAATATCGGGAGGTACGTTTATATAGGGGCTATCCCAAAATGTGGACCGATATATTTCATTTTCAATACCAACCATCCTAGACACAAAGCAAACAAAGGTACCAAATCTTTACGTCAAATAATCTGAGTTGTATCGTGATTCAAATTGACAGACGAACGGACATCGTTAAATCGACTTAAAATTTTATGCTGATCAAGAATATATATACTTTATTGGATCTGTGACTAACTTATTTAGGTATTAAAAGCGGAATGACAAATTTAATATACCCTCCTTTCCAAGGTGAAGGTTATAAAAATCACATATCTATAAATATATAAGACTGACTGATTTATCAACGCTAAGGCAGAACAGCTGAAGCTAGAATTTTGGGTCAATATTGATTGGTAGGGGTGGGATAAGGCTAAGATTTTGGAAATTTGAACATGAAGTGCCAAGTACTAAAATTATTAGTACTTTGTGAACATATAAAAATTGTGATATAAAAAGTTTGAGTAGTGGTGTACTAATTGTAACAGCAGTACTAATTGAGGTACACTTTGGTTTTGGTTGAACGGATGGATCTGAAATTGTAAAATGTTGGTATTGGGGTCTCTGCTGGTGGGTAGGGTTAAGATCTAAATGATGAATTTTGCAATTTGGCAGAAGGGTCACTGTTAGAGAATATGGTAGGCGCTTTTTATACCCTACAACACTATGTGTTGGGGGTATAAAAGTTTGATTGGGCCAAAAATTATGTAACACCTCGAAATATTGGTTTCCCACATAAGAAAGTATATATGGATCTTCCTATCTCACCGAGCTGAGTCGATTTAGCTATGTATGTCCGTCCGTCCGTCTGTCCGTCTGTTCATGTTAATTTGTAATCACTCTACAGGTCGCAAATATGGCCCGATCTTCACGAAATTTGGAATGGAGGTTGGGCTAGGGTCAGAATAGAACCCTATTTCTTTTGGAGATGATCGCATAATATTTAGGGTCCTCATTTTGCAGTTGTTCTACAGGTCGCAATTATAGACCAATCAAAGCGGTTATGCCAATAATGATGTTAATATAGATTTTGTAGTATTTTGTGATATTTTTTTTTATTTTTTCATATTTTTTATCGCATACGATTTTTTCATTCAATTTGAGTTATAATAGTTTTTAATATTTTTTCACCTCCGATCCTCACGAAAATTTTCACAAGGGTAGGGTTGGGCTCAGAAGGGCTAGGCCTACTGTTTTCAAATATATCCGCAATACATGAGGGGTTGAAATGAACCATGAAATGAATGAAATGAACAACTAAAAATTTTCCTGATTTTGCAGCCGTTATAAAGGTCACAAATAGAAACCAAAGGACACGAAATATCGCATAAAGTTAAAGTTTAGGACAGTGGGTAGAGTGGAACACTAATTTTGTGTGAAAAAATACCAGCATTACTTACAGGCAATATCCGAAAAACACAAAGGGCGAACTTCTCGCTTTTTTATGCTGATTTCGTTGACGAATATAGCCAAATATCGTAGACAAGCAAATCATATAGATGAGTCTAAATTTGGAGATACGGAGGGGCTTCTTGCTTTTGGAGATGATTGCAAAATATTTAAGGGTTCCAATTAACCAAAAACAGAAATGTTTTTCCGATCACACAATTGAAGCTGCAAAATGGACTACACCAACTTACAGCATGACGGAGTGCATATATATTGGTCCCTAGTCAAAACCTAATTTCAAATTCCAATATGGATTTGGACATAAGGGGGCTTCTAACATATTGTAGTGTTGTAGGGTATTAGCCTTTTCTTACTTTTTAAAATATGTACTAAAAAGAACTAAATGGAACTAAATTTATTACACGAGCTGGGGAAAGAGCTGGAAATCTAGGATTTGGAATGAGGCTCTGTTATGTTGTGTAGAATTGACGAACCAAATGTTTTTTTTTTTTATTTTATTTATTTATTTATTTTGTTTTTTTTTTTGAAATTCGAACATTAAGTGTACCAAAAGTATTGAGATTTGATATAATAATCGAGATTAAGAAATAAGGTCTTAGGTGAATAGACATTTAGTGAATAGACAAAAGTGTACTACATTTTATATAGAGTGTAGAATTGTAAATATTGACATAGGAATCTGTAGTGTTTCGTTTAGGAGGAATTTACAATATTTAAAAGAACTGGATTTATGAATTTTCCTATGAGTGTAACTATCCGATACACAATAGACAGCTTTGAAATGCGTACTTATAAATCGATCATTTGTAAGGTAACTATATTCGATGTGTGTTTATGATGTGTGTGTGATATACTCTGTCTTATATTTTCATGATTTTCACCATATTTTTTCTCGGATTTGTCTCAAAATTGGTAATTGTAGGTCATAGTGGGTTCGAGCTCCGGTGGCGAAACATTGTATGTATAGGTCGATTTTTTGTATATCCCCCTTATTCGGTACTTTGATGATTTATGTTACATTTCTCCACAGATTTGTCTAAAAATTGGTATTTGTTATTCATATTCCGACGGCAGAAAATTGAATATTTAGGTCCACTTTTTCCTATAGCGCACATATAACGATATTCGGTATTTTGATAATCCTGGTCATATTTTCCATGAACTTATTTCAAATTTGGTATTTAAAAAGATTTGGAAGATGGCATACCCGTTTTGGTATGGCCCCCATACAACGGCCTTGCCCACTTTATGGTTTTTTGAAAAGTTTACGTTGAAGATATGTGCATACAAAATCTAAATTTGTTGGAGCTACCTCCGATTTAGCATTTTTTTCAGTCTAAACAAACAATCAAACGACAACAGGTGACTCCATAATATACATTTATTCTTAATTACTCAAATGAGATTTTTTTAATCATGTTAAGTTGAGTAAAGCTTAGCCTATGAGGATTTGAATGTGAACTGAAGGTTTGAAGGTTTCCGAAAAAAACTTCAAACAGAAGCCATTGGACATTATTTTCTCACCGATATGTTTCTATATGGGTCCTTTGTATTAACGTTATGTTAGAGGTTTTTATCCCAATTCCATTAGTGTGTTGTTAGGAGTAAATATTTATATGTTGTCACTACCAAAAGATTTAAATTATTACCAGGCAATCTCAAAAATACGTAACGCTACCTTCAAGATTATAATACATTCACCGGATATGATTAGTTCCAATGTACTTTATTGCATGTTATTCAAATCTATTGGCACTTTTGTTTTGTAAATCTCTGCGTTGCATTTCAATGTTTTGGTGCATTCCCGCTGTGTCTCTGCAGTCTTTGAATTGGTGATGTTGTGGATCTTGGGAATGTTATTCCGAATGTATGAATAATTACATGTACATTTTTTTTTTTGCTACGATAACTAAAACAAAATTAGCTGCATTCGGCCATTCAAATGTGTCGAATGGGAAATGAAAAACAAAATGTGTTACACTTGAAGGTCTCGGCATGAATTGAGTCAGAGATGGGGGCAAATTACTATAGATAGTGCTAGTAAATTGAAATGAAAAAACCCCAATGGTCTCCAAGAGCGACGTAGCTAATTGAAAAGTATTGGTGGTTTGTTAACAACAATGGCAAATTGCAAACAAATCTTTACTTAAATAGCAGCAACAACAACAAAATACACCGGGTTATTCAGGGAGATGGCAGCGGCATCGGAATTTACCGCTGGGTTCCGCTGACACCGAACGACAGGCGTTTAACACTATTTGTAGACAGGTACTTCGTTGAGCAAATGATCGTTTAATAAGATTTCTGGAGCAACTATAAATAGAGAACTACTTATCAACTTTGACATACTTCAAATCGAACAGTTCATCGAACATCACAGCTAATCCTCTTCTCCCAACAAACAAACAAATCTTAAGCAAAAACATGCGTGGTTTAATGGTAAGTATTTGATAAACTGACACTTGGATTAAAGAATATCATTGTAATCATCATTTTATTCCTCAATAGGTATTGTGCTTTGTTGCTCTTTGCTCGGCTGCCCCACAAGGCTACAATTATCCCAGCCAGCCTAGTGGACATTATTTACCGCCAACAGCACCTGAAGCATCGTCCTATGGCCAGCAGCACCAACAGCCTCTTGTTACAAAACGCTTCTTTATTCACTCTGCGACCGAGGAAGAAGAGGTGGAGGTCCAACATCGGGATATTGTCGTTGGCACTCCCCGCAAAAACTTCAATGTCGTTTTCATCAAATCGCCAGCTGATAAGAAACAAAAAACCAAAATTCGTGTCATCCCTGCCGTTAACGAGGATAAAACTGTCATCTATGTCTTGGCCAAGAAAGCCGATGAACCCCAATTGGAAACCTATGTTGAAGAACCTGCCACCACCACTACCAAACCAGAGGTATTCTTTATTAAATACCGGACCAATGAAGAAGCTGAACATGCCCAACACAGCATCCAAGCTGAATATGATCATTTGGGTGGCAATACTATTATCTCCAATGAAGGTGTTTCACCAGTCCAATCTGTAATTGGCAGTTTGGATGGCTTCCAACAACAGCAACAACAAGCTGGAGCCCCGGATGTCTCCTTTGGCGACAGTACAGGTCCTGAGTATTCTGGTGTTGCGGAATCTGCTGACAATACCAATGCTGCCTATTTGCCACCCGTGAAGAAACATTAAATGTGAAGAGATGGGAGATAAGATTAGAAAGTAGTTTGACCCTCGGTCTTTTGAACTGATGTGTAACAGACTTTTGTTTGTTATTTTTTGATATATGTTTTTTTAAATTGTCTGTTATTCATTTAAAGTTATTGTTAAAAAATATAATGTTTTTAATTGAAAAAAAAGAATGGTGTTTTCTTAAAAAGTGATATGTTTAAAACTAACAAGTAAGCAATGGCTATAGTCGTGCGGAGCCGAACATGTGAGAGCCTACAACACTACAATATATTGAAATACCTACTTAGGTACAAAACCCATTTCATTAGATTTTTTAAATAATGCAATACATTCCTGATCAAATGTTAACTTTGGTTTTTGACCGGGGTATTTGCCCTATATTTACCTCTCTCTGTCGTGCTGATTGGTATTCAAAACAATTGCACATAAAAGTTTGGGTCCACTTTACCCCCTAAATATAATCATCTAAAATGCTCGACTTCTGCCCTGTCTCGAACTCTCTCTCCATACAAAATTCTGTGTCGGTTGGTTTTTAATTGTGACCTGTAGAGCGACCGCAAAATCAAGAAAATTTTATTTTTTTTATCCTTTTAGACCCATAGATATATTTCTTCAAAATAGGCTTCTATTCTAACCCTAACCCTACCTCCATGCAAAATTTTATGAGGATCGGACGATAATTTCAACCTGAATACAAAACCCTCTATATATAATGTTGTAGGGTGCAAAAATATTACAAAATCTTCAAATCAATATTGTAAGGCAAATATGAAAAAATCTCATGCGATAAAAAATTGACAAAATATATTTACTTTTTATGCCCTATACCACATTTATGCCATGACTTGTGCATTCACATTGGTGATTGAGATGAAATTTTCCAAACAATATTTGGTTGCCTCAAGGACGAACCCAAATCGAAATTGTTAAGAATCGGTTCAAATTTGGATATAGCTCCCATATATATCTACAACCGATTTGTGCACTAAATGGCCAATATTAGTCTAAATGAGCTGAATTTTGACATATCCGACTGAATTCAGTCTCGAATCAAGTACATTAAATTTCGATGAAAATCGGTTTAGATATAGCTATAGCCCCCATATACAGGTTGAGATAATAAAACTGCAACAAAGTCAAACGCCATAATTTTTACATTTTTTTTTAATTTCACTGAATTATAGCAAATAAGTAAGCAAAGGCTATAGTCGTACGGGCCGACCATGTGATACCCTACAACACTACAATATATTAGAAGCCCCTTTACGTCCAAATCCATTTTGGAAGATTTCATATTGAAACTATGTCACGGAGCACTGCCCAGATATTACCCTTAGCATTTTGACCAGCGACATTTGCCCAATATTTACGCACTCCGTCTTACTGTTAGTTGTTGTGGTCCAGTTTACAGCTTAATGTAATCTAATGGTCATTCAAAATGCTAGAATTCTTCCCTTCTTTAACTCGATTGTCTTCAATTGGGTGATCAGGAAAATTTTTCTGTTTTTGGTGAATTTGAACCCCTAAATATTTTGCGATCATCTCCAAAAGAAAGAGCCCCTCTGTATCTCCAAATTTAGACTCATCTATATGATTTGATTGTCTACAATATTGGACTATATTCGTCAGCGGAATCAGCATAAAAAGCCAGAAATTCGCCTTTTGTGTAATTTGGATATCGCCTGTAAGTTATTTTCAGGTTTCGGTAGAATGGAAATGTTGGTATTTTTTCACACAGAAGTAGTGTACCAATTAAAAATCCAATTAGCTTTAGTATTTTTGCACCCTTTATATTTGGTATTTCACTGATTGCAATACCAATAAATTTTAAATTTTTAGTTCTTATTGGACGGATTATTGTCACATAAAAGAAGTAGGTCCACGTTTTGAAATGAGGCCCATAACGCTTTGTCGGTCAATTCTGTTTTTTGTCACGATGTAGGTCCTGGAGTGGAAAGCTAGATGCCAATTTTAGACACAACAAGTAAGCAAAGGCTATAGACGTGCGGGGCCGACCATATGATACCCTACAACACTACAATATGTTCGAAGTCCACGAAAATTGTGGTCCATTTAACAGCTAAGTATAATCCAATGGTCATCCAAAATGCTAGACTTCTTCTCTGTCCTCAACTCTCTTCCGATGCGAAATTCCGTGTCGATTAGTTTTCAATTGTGGTCTATAGAACGATTACAAAATTAGAAAAATTTAAATTTTTTTAGCCATTTAAAACTCTAAATGCACGTCCTAAGAACAATAGGCGTCAATTCCGACCCCCCCCCATGCAAAATTTCGTGAGGATCGAACGATAATTGCGACATACATATAATAACACCAAAACGTAGTGTTGGGGGGTGTAAAAATTTAGAAAATTTAAAATTCAAAATTGTAAATCAAATTGAAAAATCGCATGTGATAAAAAAATATGAAATAAATGGAAAAAAATGAAACAAAAGATATAACTTTTTTATTGGTATAGTATCCCACGATTTTCTTAGATTTTATCCTTTTCTGGCAAGAGACCATTCCGAATTGATGTGAATTGTGAAAATCGGCCGGTTCTTGATTTATAAGCAGAATAAATAAGATCATTTTTTTTATTGTACCTATTTTGCTATATATCCGATTTCTTCACTGTAATGGCAAGAAGTGATCTTTTAATGTATTTGTTATTTGGCTGGGATTAAAAATATTCGAGGTTTAGTGGAAATTTTCCTATTTTCTAACATAAAATTTATGGTCTATTTTACCCGCTAATTATTGTCCGATGGCCGCTAAATTGGTAGGTTTCTGCCTAGTCCCAAACTCTAACTCCATTAAATTTTCGCGTCGATTGGTTCATAATTGTGACCTATAGAGCAACTGCAAAGTCTGGAAAATTTTCGTGAGGATCGGTTCATAATTGCGACCTGTAGCTTGATTACAAATTAACATGTACAGATGGACAGACGGACGGACGGACATACATAGTTAGATCGACTCAGCTCGGCGAGCTAGGAAGACCCATATATACTTTCCTATGTGGGAAACCAATATTTCGTGGTGTTACATAATTTTTGGCCCAATCAAACTTATAATACCCCCAACACATAGTGTTGTAGGGTACAAAAATGGTCATTTAACATTGTATTGCGCACTTATTTTACGGAAAAAATATTGTTTTCATTCACATTTATGTTGGCATATTTACATTCGACTTTTTTGTTAAGATAGCATTCCGGAATTATATGAATTGTCATAATTGTCAAAAAATCGTATAATATAAAACATTACAATTGTACATTTCAAAAGTCAAAATAAAAATTTTCAAATTTCATATTTTTACGCGATTTTTTTTTAATTTCATCCTTTTCTGCCAAGAGATAATTCCGAATTTATCTGAATCATTAAAATTATACTAGCGGTTGAGTTATAAGAGTAACACATCTTTTCTTTTATTCAGATAGATTTTATTTCAAAACAAAAATTAGTATTCACAACAAACTGTATGTAACAATGGCAATCGTCTAACACTCAATACTTTATGGGAGGCAAATAGGTATTTTTAGGTGCCCCATCTAAACTGCCAATAACTGAGGTAACTGGAGAGACTCCTTCATCAGAGACATCAGTTGTGCCTCCTAAGTTATCATATTTACTCTGGATATGATGTTGAACATGTTCAGCCTCATTATTCGTTCGGTATTTAATGAAGAAAACTTCAGGTTTAGCAGTGGTAGTAACAGGTTCTTCAACAAACGTTTCAAGTATTGGAGCTTCGGCTTTCTTGGCCAAAACATAAATGTATGTTTTATCCTCATTGGTAGCAGGAAGGATACGGATTTTGGCCTTCTGTTGTTTAACCGCAGGTGCTTTAATGAATACGACATTGTAATTTTTGCGTGGTGCTCCTACAACAATGTCTCTGTAAATGACTTCCGGTTCGTCGTCCTCTGGTGCTGAATAGGTGAAGAAGCGTTTGTTAACTATTGGCTCCGGTTGCCATTGACTTTTTCCATTGCTTTGGATGCCGTTTGTTGCCTCATCTTGCACTTTGGGATAGTGATAGCCCTCTGGAGCAGCTAAACAAATGGCTGCCAAACTCAAAAGCTATGTAAATAATGCAAATTAACTATTGAATTAAACACACTAATGCCGAGTACTTACAATCAAAGAACGCATGCTTTTTTTTCCCAAGAAGGTGTATATGCAATGAATTTGTTGGCAGTTCGACTAACTATATCTTTAAATCTTAAATGCCATTGGTATTTATACTGGTTCTAGATAATCAGATATTGATCATTTATTTTTGCACTTCATACATTAGCCAACTTGTCTTGAAAACTTCTAAAACTGTTTAAGTTGGAGTCGAGCGTCATTTATCATTTGAAATATTAGTTATTTTTAGCATAAACAATTCATTCATGAGGGTTTGTGATGTTTGTTTCATTGATGAGGAGAAGTAATAATAAAAATTGGAAAATATTTTAGATAAGACTTTACGTTGATCATACTATACCCTACAAGATAAATATTTGGAAGCCTCCCGGAAAACATTTAATTTATTAAAATGGGGACATTATATATGAAAATTTATCAGTCCATCAACTCACAATAATGTTAAGGAGGAAGAGGGGTGTTAGTGGTAGTGGAGTGTATGTAAAAAGTAAGAGCAAATTTTTTCAAAATTTTGAGTTTCTCGAAAATATTTGGTCAATACATAACTTTTAATTATCTATGATACTCTACAACACCAAACATATTTAGAAGTTCTACCGTTTGTGTGAAATACTCCATACCAACCATATCTCCATACCATATAGTTTTTGGATACCTTGAACTTTGAAATTGAAGGGAACTAATATATAGATCGTATATGTATATCATGATTGATTTCCACTAAATTCGAAGGAGATAGAGTGCTAAATAAAATATCGGAAGAAACATACGAAACATTTTATACTAGCATTTTAATCGTATGATCGGAAATTGAGCCTATTTAGGAAAACGTTGCACCGTTGAGGAAACTCTTTTATACAATTAGAGGGAAATATATAAGAATTGTCAAATCGGATAAAACCGATGTTAACCAAATTTGTCCAACGTGATTCTATGCAGATTTCAGAAATCCTCATAAAAAATTACGGATCTGCTTCATTTTCATCTGAATGTTCCACACAAATACCGAAAGACTTTATACCCAGCATCACAGCATGGTTTATGCTATAACAACTAAAAACAAGTAAGCAAAGGCTACAGTCGAGCGGGGCCGACCGTTGAATACCCTACAACACTATAATAAATGATACAGTTTATATAGGCGAGATACTCGGAAGAATTCCACAAGATATTGTGACAAACAATAAAAGAAAACCATCAGGTTTCCTTCTCTAATTTTCGAATAATAGCAACTTAAACTAATTTGCTCATTTCCAATTTATTTGTAGATGTTGCACGTAAATGGTCTTCCTAGATTTGGAACCAATATTTCCCAAAGACCTATAATCTCTCAGAAGTGGCAAAACATTAATTTTAATTATTGGTTTTTGACTAAAAGATACAGACATTTGACTATATTCTTCAACGAAATCAGCCTTAACGAAATAGTTAGAAGTGCGTCTTTCCTGTATTTGTGAATTCTCCAAAAAGTCACTGGAATGGATATTTTCGTATTTTGTCTACAAAAGTTGGCAAACTATTTCACACATTGAATATTTTTGGATGGCCATCCAAAACTATTTGGCTTTTGCAATGTCCGGTAACCTCCATTCAAATGCGCGTGAGGATCGGGCGATAATTACGACTTCCTGACAATTTTGCAGTTTTTTTTGTCCATTTCAACCCCTAAATATATTGCGATTATCTCCAAAAAGAGTAGGCTTCTATTCTGACCCTCATCTTATCCCCATGCAAAATTTTATAAGGATCGGGCCATAAATGCGATCTGTATATGATATCCTGATATCCTAACTACTTAGTTTTGTTAGCTGTAGAAATATTACCAAGTGTTTAATTCAAAATGAAAATATGCCAAAAATATGACAAAATTGAAAAAATATGAGAAAATATTACAAAATCAATATTTTCATCTTTAGAGAGATATTTTTATGCAATTTTTTTAGACGTTTTTTCTTTCCTGCCAAGAGGTCATTTTGAATTAATAAGAACTGTCGAAATCAGTTCAGCCGTTCTCGACATATAAGAGATCTTTCAAGCATATCTTCTTTGATAGACATATATATCGCACATATTTTGCTATATATCCGATTTGTTGGATGTTAACATCAATGTAAAGGTCAGAAGTAACCTTGTCATGGCTTCGTGATTTCGCCGGGATTTAAAATATTCACGGTTTAATGAAAAATTTTGAATTTTTTCAACACAAAAGATATGGTCTATTTTACCCGCTAAATGTTATCCGACGACCACCCAAATTGGTAGGCTTCTTCCCCGCCCTAAACTCTAGCTACATGCGAAATTCCGCGTCGATTCGTCTATAATTACGACCTGTATAGCTACTGCAAAATCCGACATTTTTTCTGTATTTGGTCCATTTCAACCCCTAAACATTTGGCGATCATCTCCAAAAGAAATAGGCTTCTATTCTGACTCTAACCCCACCTTCGTGCAAAATTTCGTAAGGATCGGGCCATAATTGCGACCTGTAGCGTGATTACAAATTAACATGGACAGACGGACAGACGGACGGACGGACATACATAGCTAAATCGACTCAGCTCGGCGAGCTAGGAAGATCCATATATACTTTCTTATGTGGGAAACCAATATTTCGAGGTGTTACATAATTTTTGGCCCAATCAAACTTATAATACCCCCAACACATAGTGTTGTAGGGTATAAACATTCGATTCGGCCTGGACAAACTTTCAATACCCTTCACCGTTGCATAAAGAAAACAGTTTTATATAAAACAAGTAACCAAAGGCTATAGTCGTGCGGGGCCGACCATGTGATACCCTACAACACCACAATATGTTCGAAGTCTCCTTATTCCAAATCCATTTTGGAAGATTTCGTTTTTCAAATAATGTCAAAGAGCACTAAACAGATGTTACCCATAAGTTTTTGACCCGGAGAATTTTCCGTCGTGTTGTATTTAAAACAATTTCACACCAAAGTTGTGGTCTATTTTATAGTTAAAAATAGTCCAATAGTCATCAAAAATTATTGATTTCTTCCCAGTCCTTAACTCTCTCTTGATACGAAATTCCGTGTCGATTAGTTTTCAATTGTGGCCTATAAAGCGAATACAAAATTAGAAAAATTTAAATTCTTTTAGTCCATTTGAACCCCTTTGCATGTGATACCCTCAAAGCGTAGTGTTGAGGGGTGTAAGAATTTAGAAAATTTTCAAAGTTGTATGTCAAATTGAAAAAATCGCATGCGATAAAAAATATGACAAAAAATTAAAAATATGGAACAAGAGATATTCACTCATTTATTGGTATATTTTTTAGCGATTTTCTTAGATTTTACCCTTTTCTGGCCAGAAACCATTCCGAATTGATGGGAATTGAGAAAATCGGCCCGGCGGTTCTTGAATTAAAAGCAGAATAATTAATATCTACTTCTTTTACATATATATTATTTCTATTTTGCTATATATACGATTTCTTGGCTTTCAGCATCACTTTAATGGTCAGGAGTGACTTTTTAATGTATTTCTGATTTGGCTGGGGTTAAAAATATTCGCGGTTTAGTGGAAATAATGTGGCGAAAATAATCAAAATACCGAATATCGGTGGGTACCGTTATAGGGCGGCTATCCCAATATCCAGGATATTTAATGAATATTTGCACATTAACTTACACTTCAATTTTATTACTTAAACATGCTCCCGCAAAAAATATTTATGGTGAGGTGCGAGAAGAAGTGGTCCGTCATTTCCCGTATTCACACATGATCTTGATATTGGTATGTGTGATATTTACAGACCAGCGGGCTCTTATTCCTCATTTTATAAGATTTATGATTATTCAAAATTATAGCCCTTTGCGTGGAAGGAACTTCATACAAACATATATATTTACAAATTTTGAACAAAGTCGGATGATCCTTTTCTGTTTGAGGAAAATTATTTTCTGTTAAAATATAGGCCTTGTGGGGATGATACCAGAAGGAGTGGATCGATATTGTCCACCTTCGAACTTGATCAAATTTTGAAAAAAAAAAAAAAAAAAAAAAAAAAAAAAAAGTATTACAACTTAAAAAGTTTGGATTAAATCGGATATTCCCTCCGAGAGTTGTCTTGCCCACCAGCCGGACAGACTGATCGCTGTCCTAGATCGACTCCAAATGTTCCAAAACGGGTTTTGTCCAAAGAGATCTAGGGCCTAAGAGTTATTTCGATGAGGAACGTTTTGGCCGTATCAAACGATTTATACCCTCTGTGGACCCAACAGCTACCCTTTGAAGTAAAATTCAGATTGCATGGTAATGTTGGTAGAATTATAGCAGCTAACCATTGTAGCGCGCTTTTCCATATTAATAGTCATTAAACATTGATGAATGTTCTAGGGTCATCATTACCCATAAAGACTTAAATGTTTTCAATGATAACTCAGTTTGTTTCTTAAACAAGTATAAATACTGATGTTGTCATCAATATAAGACATACCACGTCGAAGTATTCAAAGATCCATTTAATTTTGTGCTTTATTAGTTCTCTTCGTTTAAATCACATCATTAAAATGCGCGTATTAATTGTAAATATAACACTAATTAATATTTTTTCTTATGCTTTAATTTTTTATATTTTTGCAAATTTTAAGGTATTGTGTTTGATTGCATATTGCTCTGCTTCTCACCAAGGATATGATTATGCCAGCCAAACAAATACCGCCAGTTCTGGCTTGTATGGAGCACAACCATTGATTACAAAACGGTTCTTCATCCATTCGGCCGCTGAAGAAGAGGGTGTCGATGTTCAACATCATGACGTTGCCGTTGGTACGCCACGCAAAAATTACAATGTAGTTTTCGTTAAAGCCCCTGCCGAAAAACAACACAAGATAAAGGTCCGTGTCACCCCAGCCGTTAATGAAGAAAAGACTGCCGTCTATGTTTTGTCGAAGAAAGCAGATGCTCCCATTGTGGAAACGTTTGTTCAAGAAACCGCAACTACGACCAGCAAACCTGAGATTGCTTTCATTAAATATCGCACCAATGAAGAAGCTGAACATGCCCAACATCACATTCAAGCTGAATACGATCGTTTAGGTGGCACCACTAGTGTTTCTGACGAAGGTGTTTCTGCTGTTAAATCGGTTATTGGTATCTTAGATAGCCTTCAGCAAGGAGCTGGTTCTTCAGCCTACTTGCCACCACAACATTGATATGTTTGTCCGTTTTCAGTCAGTTGTTGTAAATGTGTTGTTATTATGTTACATATACTAATATAAATAAAGAGAATATACGTATATCAAAAATAATATATTTCGAATAGTTTGATGTGAACTGAAGGATACATTTACTTAAGGCTGTCATATCCATGCATATTAAGATGGCAAACTCATTTCAGTCGAGCGGGGCCGACCGTTGAATACCCTACAACACTATAATAAATGATACAGTTTATATAGGCCGTATACTCGAAAGAATTCCACAAGATATTGTGACAAATAATAAAAGAAAACCATCAGGTTTCGTTCTAATTTTCCTATAATAGAAACTTGAACTAATTTGCTCATTTCCAATTTATAGGTAGATGTTGCACGTAAATGGTCTTCCTAGATCTGGAACCAATATTTCCCAAAGACCTATAATCTCTCAGAAGTAGCAAAAGATTAACATTTATTATTGGTTTTTGACTGAAACGCATCTATATGAGATACAGACATTTGACTATATTCTTCAACGAAATCAGCATTAACGAAATAGTCAGAAGTGCGTCTTTCCTGTATTTGTGAATTCTACAAAGAGTCACTGGAATGGACATTTTCGTATTTTGTCTACAAAAGTTGGCAAACTATTTCATACATTGAATATTTTTATCCATCCATCAAAAACTGCTTGGCTTTTGCAATGTCCGGTAACCCCCATTCAAACGTGCGTAAGGATCGGACGATAATTACGACCGACCGACAATTTTGCAGTTTTTTGGTCCCTTTCAACCCCTAAATATATGGCGATCATCTCCAAAAAGAATAGGCTTCTATTCTGACCCTCATCTTATCCCCATGCAAAATTTCATAAGGATCGGGCCATAAATGCGATCTGTATATGATATCCTGATATCCTAACTACTTAGTTTTGTTAGCTGTAGAAATATTACCAAATGTTTAATTCAAAATGAAAATATGCCAAAAATATGACAAAATTGAAAAAATATGAGAAAATATTACAAAATCAATATTTTCATCTTTAGAGAGATATTTTTATGCGATTTTTTAGGCGTTTTTTCTTTTATGCGAAGAGGCCATTCTGAATTAATGAGAACTGTCGAAATCAGTTCAGCCGTTCTCGACATATAAGAGATCTTTTAAGCATATCTTCTTTGATAGACATATATATTGCACATATTTTGCTATATATCCGATTTGATGGATGTTAACATCAATGTAAAGATCAGAGGTAACCTTGTCATGGCTTTTGATTTCGCCGGGATTTAAAATATTCGCGGTTTAATGAAAAATGTTGAATTTTTTAAAACAAAAGATATGGTCTATTTTATCCGCTAAATATTATCCGATGACCACCCAAATTGGTAGGCTTCTTCCCCGCCCTAAACTCTAGCTACATGCGCAATTCCGCGTCAATTGGTCTATAATTGCGACCCGTAGAGCAACTGCAAAGTTAGGAATTTTTTCAGTTTTTGGTCCATTTCAACCCCTAAATATTATGCGATCATCTCCAAAAGAAATAGGGTTCTATTCTGACCTTAACTCCACCTACATTCTAAATTTCGTGAAGATCGGGCCATAATTGCGACCTGTAGAGTGATTACAAATTAACATGGACAGACGGACAGACGGACGGACATACATAGCTAGATCGACTCAGCTCGGCGAGCTAGGAAGATCCATATATACTTTCCTATATGGGAAACCAATATTTCGAGGTGTTACATAAATTCTGGCCCAATCAAACTTATAATACCCCCAACACATAGTGTTGTAGGGTATAAAAAGCATATCCATCTCTGCATTTACCTTGTCAACGTTACTGCATAGAAAGCAAGTTCAGATCTCTGATTTCTGAATATACATTTTGACAATGTGATGTTGTATTTGTTCCATGGATGTTTGATAAATTAAAATGTTGAGGTAAGCACTAATTTCACAATTTATGAAAGACATTTCAGTGATACGGGAAAGAGTCGCCTGATATTTTTCTATTTTCTCACCTCACTTAAGTATAACAAAATTATTAGGTTGTGCCAAGTTTGGACAATATTTGAAATTGTGGAGCCGAAGAAGTGGGAAGTGCCAATCATGCCAACCGTCACACCCGATTTCTTGAAAAAAAAAAACGTTTCGGCAATCTTATTATCCAAATATCCTGATTTTGCAGATTATAAACCAATACACAATATTTACAATAAACAATAGGTAAGGGTTTAGGGTGGGGCAGAAGTCCACCAATTTGGATGGCCATCAGATAATCTTTCGAACTTTTATGGGAAAAATACATATATTTTTTCAAAATAGCACTTTGTGATATTTTTATACCCTACAACACTTTGTGTTGGGGGTATTATAAGTTTGATTGGGCCAACAATTATGTAACACCACGAAATATTGATTTCCCACATAGGAAAGTATATATGTATCTTCCTATCTCGCCGAGCTGAGTCGATCTAGCTATGTATGTCCGTCCGTCCGTCCGTCTGTCCATGTTAAATTGTAATCACTCTACAGGTCGCAATTATGGCCCGATCTTCACGAAATTTAAAATGTAGGTGGGGTTAAGGTCAGAATAGAACCCTATTTCTTTTGGAGATGATTGCACAATATTAAGGTGTTGAAATGGACCAAATACTGAAAAATTTCCTGATTTTGCAGTTGCTCTACAGGTCACAATTATGGACCAATCGAAGCGGAAGTTAGCATGGGGCTAGGGGCGGCTAGAAGTCTTCCAATTTTGATGGTCATTGGGTACTATTTAGTGGTTGAAATAGACCATAACATTTGTGATAAATTAAAGTCAAATTTTACACTAAACCGCGATTATTTTTAATCCCGACGAAATCACAAATAGACGAACAGATCAATTCTGACCATTACATCGATGCCGATAGTAAATATATCGGAAATATATAACGAAATATTTACCATGTATATATACAAAGGAAGGGGATGTTAACTAGAATGCTTATATCTGAAGAATGACTGGACCGATTTTGACAAATTTTGTCAATTCAGAATGCCCTTTTGTCATAAAAGTATAAAGTCTAAAAAATCGCATAAAAAGATGTCAATAATGATGTTAATATAGGTTTTGTAGTATTTTTGCAACAACAACATTTTGTGATATATTTTTATTTTTTCATATTTTTTATCGCATGCGATATTTGCAATTTGACTTAAAATATTGAAGTGTATATTTTGTAATATTTTTTCACATTACAACACCGCTTGGGGCTGTTATATACAGATTGCAATTATTATCCGATCCTCACGCATTTTCACAAGGGTAAGGCTTAGAAGGAATAGACCTATAGGTTTTAAAGATGTCCGCAATATATTTGGGGGTTGAAATGGACCAACAACTAACAATTTTCCTGATTTTGCAGCCGTTATAAAGGTCACAAATAGAAACCAAAGGACACGAAATCTCGCATGAAGTTAGAGTTTAGGACAACGAGTAGAATGAGCCGCTACTTTTGTGTGAAAAAATACCAACATTACTTACAGATGATATTCGAAAAAACTAAAGCCGAACTTCTGTTTTTTATGGTAATTTCGTTGACGAATAGAGCCAAATATCGTAGACAAGCAAACCATATAGATGAGTCTAAATTTGGAGATACGGAGGGGCCTCTTGCTTTTGGAGATGATTCAAATGAACCAAAATCAGAAAAAAAATCCTGATCACACAATTGAAGCCAATCGACGCGCCTGAGAACAGAGTTAAGGACAAGGAAGGATTCAAGCATTTTGGAAAGTGGACCACAACAACTAACAGCATGACGGAGTGCTTAAATATTGGGCAAATGTCCCTGGTCAGGTCAGTGCTCCGTGACATAATTTCAAAAGCGAAATCTTCCAAAATGGACTTGGATATAAGGGGGCTTCTTACATATTGTAGTGTTGTAGGGTATCACATGGTCGGCCCCGCACGTCTATAGTCTTTGCTTACTTGTTTTATTATACCCTACAACACTATGTGTTGGGGGTATTATAAGTTTGATTAGGCCAAAAATTATGTAACACCTCCCACATAGGAAAGTATATATGGATCTTCCTGTCTGATGCCGAGATGAGTCGATCTAGCTATGTATGTCCGTCCATTCGTCTGTCCATGTTAATTTGTAATCAAGCTATAGGTCGCAATTATGAACCGATCCTCACGAAATTGAAAATGGAGGTGGGGTTAGGGTCAGAATAGAACCCTATTGTTTTTGGAGATGATCGCACCATATTTAGGGGTAGAAACGGACTAAAAAATTTTCCTGATTTTGCAGTTGCTCTATAGGCAACAATTATGAACCAATCTAAGAAATTTTACATGGAGTTAAAGTTTAGGGCTGAGCAGAAGAAACCCAACAATTTGGGCGGCCATCGGACAATAATTATCGTGTAAAATAGACCCTAACTTTTAAGTAAGAAAATAGGAAAATTTCCACTAAACCGCGAATATTTTTAATCCCAGCCAAATCACAAATACATAAAAAGATCACTTTTGACCATTACAGTGATACTAATAGCCAAGAATTTGAATATACAGCAAAATAGGTACAATATATATGTAAAAGAATTGATCCTATTTGTTCTGCTCATAAATCAAGAACCACTGGACCGATTTTCACAATTCCCATCAATCTCTTTCCAGAAAATAAGCTTTGTTCTATTTTTTTTTTTTTTTCAATTTTTGTCATATTTTAACGCATGCGATTTTTTAAATTTTCTAAATTTTTACACCCCCAACACTACGTTTTGAGGGTATTATATACATGTCGCAATTATCGTCCGATCCTCACGAAATTTGGCACGTTGTAGGATTAGGGTCAGAATTAAAGCCTATTGTTCTTAAGATGTACATTGAGAGGTTCAAATGGTCTAAAAAATTTTTATTTTTTTTTCTGATTTTGTAGTCGCTCTATAGGCCACAATTGAAAACTAAACGACACGGAATTTCGCATCAGAAAAGAGTTAAGGACAGGGAAGATGTCTAG